GTATTTACTATTTTTTTTAATTTGACATACTTGTTTTTCTCCGCTTTAATAATCCACAAATTATCAAAATTAACATCTGGCCTCACAAGAGTCAATAATTTTTTAATTACAAAAATGTCCAAATTCGTGTCATCTGGACAAATGTAAAGTACTTGCGAAGCTCTATTTTCTAACCATCCTAAACGTCCAATCTATTAAAAATATTTATGTCGCACTATAATTACAAATTTTTTTATTCATTTCTCAAAAAATCATTTCTAAAATCCTAATGATATTTTTTTATTTGTTTTTGACAAATTTTGGTTTTTTCAAATTTTATTCATATTTATGCCATATTATATTATAAGAAAAAATAAAATAACTAACTTGGATATTTTGTAGAGATTGATACGTTTTCTCTGCCCGACATCTGAATTCATTGTAACAGGCAAAAGATGGTAGATGGACCACGACGTGTGGCAATTTATTTATCTTTTTCAACGTTTTCGTCACACAATTTGTCCTGCGCGATAATTAAAAATTACGTAAAAAATGTAATTCACTGATTTATTCGTTAATTTATAAATTCTTTTATGATTAAATAAATATTATGTTAATAATATTTAAATATCCGAATAATATAAAATTTTGTAATTAGTATTGGAAAATAATTCTTCGAGAAAAAAAACAAAATAAAAATATTAAATTAAATAATTATGATGAATTTATTGATTGAACAATAATAGGAAATTAAATATAAACTATAAATTCAAATTAAAAGAAAACTGAATAATTAGATGCGAAAAAAAATTAACCATCTCATCATTTTTCTGCAGAGTGTTGAAAAACCCTGATTTTTAATTTCATGTAAACGATTCAAATTATCGTAATCGTCACTGCAAAGACTGCTGGGAAAAAAAATTTTTCTTTTTTCATTTTTTCTTTGAATGTGACATGTAATTTTCGAATAATCTCGAGTTTTCTCTGAATCGACACCCCATTTGCCGATTTTCTTGCATTTTCCCAAATAATTCAATTTAAATGGTTCAATAGGATCTTGAAGATAATGATCATAATTGTAATCGGGAAAAATTACTCTTTCTCGACGTTTACAAATTTTTGAGATTTGATCAGAAATAATTGATTTTGATTCAGACTATTGCACAGGGAATTTTTTTTATAAATTAAAAAAGGCATTTTTTAAATGAGAAATAATTTTTTAATTTCAGAAATAAAGATTATATAATTTTTAAATGAAAGATATACCTAATTGTTTAATTTAAAAAAGGCATTTTTTTTAATAAAGAATAAAATTCTTTAATAATAAAAAGGCATATTTTAATTAAAAATTAATTATTTAATCTAAAAAATGATCTTTTTGGACTTCAAAATTATTTCTTAATAAAAAAGATATTTTTAATTAAAAAATAATATTCTTTAGTATTAAAAAAGGCATTATACAATTAAAAATTAATTCTTCAATTTAAATAATTATCTTTTTCGATTAAAAAAAATTTGTTAAATGTATTTTTAAATAAAAAATAATTTTTTAATTCGAAAAGATCATTTTGTTATTAAAAAATAATTCTTTAATTTAAAAAGTCAGTTTTTTAATTAAAAAATAATTCTTCAAATAAAAACAAACATTATAATAATTAAAAAATAATTTCCTAATTAAAAAAAATGTAGTTTTACTTGAAAACTAATTTGTAATTGAAAAAGGTCATTTTTTGATTAAAAATCTTCTTTATTTAAAAACTTTGTTAATTAAAAAAACTTTTCTAATTAAAAAACTTTGTTAATCCAAAAAACTTTTGTAATTAAAAATCTTCCAGATTAAAAATAACAAATTTCTGAATAAAAAAAATGTCAGTGAATTAAAACTTTTTCCTTTGAAATAAAACATAACAAAAAACATTTCCTTATTAAAATTTTTTTTTTTATAAATATATCTGAACTTTGAAAATTTAATGCAAAATTTTTTAAATAAAAATGAAAACGGAAATCAAAGATTGCAATACGAACTTTTTCTATTTCTTGACCTTTGATTTTATTGCAAGTCAATTCTTCATTCTCGGAATAATAATTATGATAATTAATATTTCGTGAATTCAGTAGCGAACAGTCGCTTTCATAGAGAAGATTTCTCTTTGAACAAATCGATTCTGATTTTCCGAGATTCGATATTGTCTCGAATTCATTTTCAAAAATATCAAAAGAATCGAATGATTCATTATTCAGATATAATGTTTCGAAAATTGTAATTTCCGAATCAAAGGAAATAATTGCTTTTCCTTTTGATTTCAAATCTTCATTCAATGTTTTCCTGACGATTTTCACTATTTTATTAAAATCTAAATGATCGTTTCTGCGAAAAAAGTTTAATTTGTTTTTTTAATGTTAAACTTTAAGCCACTAAAAAAATTTATTTGTAATTTATATTTATATCTGAAATTCTTGGTTAAATATAATTTTTTTGTTCAAATTTAGAATTTATTTGATTTAAATAAAAATTATTTGATTTAAGTAAATATTTATGCGTTTTGAATAAAAATTATTTTATTCAGGTAAATATTTATTTCATTTGAATAAAAATTGTTTGAATCAAGTAAATATTTATTTAATTTAAACAAAAAATGTTTGATTTAAGTAAATATTTCATTTAAATAGAAATTTTTTGATTCAAGTGAATATTGATTTGATTCACATAAAAAATGATTTGATTCGAGTAAATATTTATTTCCTTTAAATAAAAAATAGTTTGATTCAAATAAATATTTAATTTTAATAAAAATTATTTGATTCAAGTAAATATTTTATTTAAACAAAAATTGTTTGATTCAAGTAAAAATTATTTGACTCGAGTAAATATTTAGTTGATAAAAATTATTATAAATATTTGATTTAAACAAAAATTTGTTGATTCAAGTAAATATTTAATTGTTGATAGACAAGTAAACAGTTATTTGAATCAGATAAATTAATTTTTTAGTATGAATGGAAATGTTATTAAAAATAGAGTTTATATAAATAATTAACAATAGAATTTCCTGGGAATGGTAATTATTTTTTTCGTCAAGCGATTTATTTTTATCAATTTCCACTTTTTTGAATTCTTCGTCACCACAAAGATATTTTATTTGATCCAGGGTCACATCCTGCTTTGAATTTATCGATTTGGAATAGCCACGTAGATCATTTGTTTGGCAAAAAACTTGTTCAATACATTTACACTTTTGTTCGTTTTCAAAGGATTTATTTTCTTCCTTTAAAAATGATTCATTATCAGAATTATCGTTGGGAAAAAAAGAAAAAATCTTGCGTGACGTTTAGGAGGAAATGTTTTTTTAAATACTTGTTGGAGAATGTCCTGGAAAGGACATTTAGATAGTTAAAAAAATTTAGAAAAATATAAATATATAAATAAAAATAAAAAAATATCGTTTTTTTATTAATTATTAATTTTTTTTTTGTTAATTAAAAATTCTAATAACTTTAAATTTTGCTTTCTGATCAAATAGCTAACCTTTCCTTGTAGAAGTAAAAATTGATCGTCACTATTTTTCATTGGAACCATTTTTTTTCCTCTTCGAAACAAAAAATTGTTAATTCTTTCCTTCTTTATTTTTCACACTTTTTTTTCTTTTTTTTATTTCTCACTCTTTATTTTTTTCCATCTTTATTTTTAAAAATATTAAATTAATTTCATTTTAAGTTTACTGTGAAACTAACTATAGAAAGGGAAATTTCAGAAATTGTCATTTTGCTTTTCTTTTGTTTAAAGATCAAATTTTAAACGAGAGAAACAATTCAGTATTTAAAGTAAAAAAAGAACTAAAGAAGTTTTAGAAAATTTTGGAATTTTTTTTGCAGAAAATTATTCTAATGTAATAATTTTTATAGTTATATAATTCATTGTTTTTTAAAGCAATTATTTGTCGTTGCGATTTAAATGACTTGCACGAAAAGAGTAACTACAATCTGAATAATAATTTATCATGTCAACTTTGTTTTTATTTTATTATAAAAATCTAGTTTTTCACTTGAATTTTTTTTTATGACATTTTAACCTGAAAAATTCGAGTCCAAACGTCATTTAAAATCTGTTTATTTTATAAATATTTATATTTCTATTTTAAAAATAAATTAAATTTACAAAATTTGTTGTAAACAAAAATTTATAATTTATACTTTGATATAAATTATATAATAATTACAAATTCTTAAAAGCGAGAATAAGAAAATGTTAAGTTTTTTTGCATTATGAGAATTGCAAAATTTTATAAACAAATTATACCAGGTTAAATTATTTAAAAAAATTAAATTTATATTTATATATTCATTTTAAATGTAATATGTATTATTATATAAATATATTATAAAAATCTATAATAATATTAATAATATTTAATAATTATTATTATAATAAAATGCAAATAATTATTTCACTGTTTAAAAGCAGTGAGAAAATAATTAATAATTATAATAAATATATTAATAAACAAAATGTATTTCTATTTCTATTTATTTTTATATTTAAATAATCGAAATGAACTATAATTAGTTCATAAATTAAATACTCATTTTTCTACTAAACAGAATAAATTTATAATAAATTTCCCGAACGAGAAAAAATTGAATTCCGAACAATCGTAAAATATTGAGAAAGAATAGAAAAAAAACTTTAATTAGAAATGTTTTATCATACATAATTAATGTCAAAAAGAGATAAAATTCCAGTGAAAAATGTAAATTTCGTGTGACTGTCAACACCTCGTTTAATATAAAGCTTTTCATCAAATTAGTATTTAATGATTGTATTGCACTTTTTTTCTCAATTAAAATGCTCTCGAATGACGTAAGTCATCACACACAGTTTTTTTCTCTCCTCTTATTTTTTTTTGCCTGGATTATCAGGTTTTTTGTGCCCTTCCCCCTTTTACCATTATAGAGTCAATATGATTGTTAACTCGTTTAAAATTATTCCAAGTTCAAAAAATCACAAGGTATATAAGTCTCTTTCGCACCTGTAATAATGACATTCTTGATTAAGCGCTCACTCAATATACATTGAGAAAATAGTGTTTTTTTTTGCTTTAATATTTTATCGGAAAAATAAAAATAGACAAGAATAAAATATCAAAATGGGAATTTTATCATTTATTCTAATCGGTTGTGTTATGACAACGACGACAATGTTAATTAGTGTTGAAGCAGATGATGCAGAACATTATCCAATAAGATGGGTGGAAATTGACATAAAACCAATAGTCGATAATGATCGATTGTTTAAAAAATATACGGAATGCATTATTTCGGATAAAATGAAGGGATGTCCCAAGGAAGCTCTACAAATTAAAAGTAAGTTTTTGTTAATTACCAAAATTTTTTTATCACTAATAAATGAATAATTAAATAATAAATACTCGTTCAAGGCCAAAAGGCATTAACTATGTATAATAAATAAATAAATAACAAATAAATAATTAAATAAATAATTTAATAATCAGATGAAGAGAAATCAAAATTATTCGCATAATTATTTCTACAATTGTTATTAATAGATATAATTAAGATAATTACAATTTTTTATTTGATATATATTTAATTAATAATGATTAATTATTAATTAATTTATTATATTTATAATTAATTTTTTTGTTAGTAATTATTTTTACAAATTAGTATTTTACTATAAAGCTAAATATATTGTGATGACATTATTTTTATAATTTTTTATAATTGTTTACTTTTTTATTATTTCCTTTATAATTATATTTTATATTTGCACTTACGTTATTATTTCAATAAATATTAATTTTTCTTTGATAATAATAGTTTGAAATTGTTTATAATTAAATTTTTTATATCTTTACCAAATTAAAAATGTTTAAATTAAAATTAAATTTAACAAAATAAATAAATAAAATAAATTTAATTGTTGTATTTATTTTTTTAATATGCAGTTGTTTGTTATTGTGATTATTGTAATTATTTTCGTGTTCTTTTATAATTCAATTATTGTTGAAATTATTTACTCATTACAATAAATAGTAAATATAGTTTTAAATTTACAATTAATTATATAATTAAATAATTTTAACTATAAATTGTATTAATTAAAAAATTGATAAAAACAATTTCGTTTGTTTGTTTTTTATAAAAACTTGATAAAAAAATATTTTATATGTCTAAATTTTTATAAAAATTCATAAAAAAATGTATTTCTTTCATTTTTTTTATATTGATAAACAATTATTTTTTTTCAAAATAAATCAAACAAATTGTTGTTTTTTTATACCTAATAAATTGATGGATAAAATATTTTTCTAATTCACTCTTTATTTATTTATTTATTTATTTGTAAACGCTATTTATTTATTTAAAAAAAAATTGACGAGAAATTAAAATAATGTTTAGAAATAAATAAAATCTTTTTTTATTTATTTTTGATAATAAATTGATGAAAAAAATAATTTTCTAATACACTTTTTATTTATTTATTTGTAAATGGAATTTATTTATTTATTTATATTACAAGAATTGACCACGAAAAAAATTTTAGATAGAAATAAATAAAATTTTTTTTTATTTATTTTTGACAATGAAATAAAAAAATATTTTTTAAAAATTCACTTTCTGTACTAAGTTGATAAAAAAAGTCCTGTATACATTTTTAAATAAATAATTAAATGTTGTTTGTATATAAAATAATAAAAAAAAATTAAATAAAAAAACTTTTTTCGTTTATTTTTTATAAATAATAGATAAAGATTTTTTTAAATTGATTTTGTATCAAAAAAATGATTTAAAAAATACTGTTTTTTTATTTGTTATTATAGTTTTTTTTGGTAAAATAAATAGATTTTAATTTTACTAACAAAATTTTTTTTTTAGGCGCTGTACCGGAAATTATGGAGACGCTTTGCAAAAAGTGCCTGCCTATTCATATTTCACGAGGAAAGGAATACGCTTCCTATGTTTGTACAAAACGGCCAGAGGAATCGCTGGCAATTCTTAAGAAACAAGATCCAACTGGTGCGATTCGAACACGATTTGAGAATACGTTTGGAGTTGTTGAAGAATGTAAAGATATACATGTATGAAAATTTAGTTGTTTTTTTTGTATAGATACTTTACAATTGAGGGGCTGGATGCTATAATGTGTTACGCGTGAACACACGGCCAGTCAGTTGGGTTATGGAGAGAAAATTTTGAAGTTGTTCAAAATGAATTTAAAATTATTGTTTCTTGTTTAGAATTTCAAGGCGAAACTTTTTTTCTAATAAAATTTTTTTATATAATTGTTTGTTTTTAAGTAAATTGAGAAAAGCGTGATTTTCTAACCTAAGAAATTTTAATGAATTTTTGACTTCAACTCGTGATTACTTCGTTAAATATTAATATTTTTCCACGAAATTTACACACAATATTCTTCAAACTAGTTCAAAAGTGAAACAATATTTAGTAATTTTTCAAAAAATTCTATGTCTAAGTAAATAATTATTTAAATAAATGTGCCGGAAAAATGATGCAGCTATTTTCAATTGAAAAAGTTGAGTGACGAATTTTCGTTTTCGGAAAACTTCCAGTGACAAAAATATTCATCAATATGTTAGGAAGTTTTTTTGAAAATTTTTCGTCATTTGATAGTAAATTAAAGAAAATAGAGCAATTTTAACAGCGTCGTGCTCTGCTGTAAACGTAAACATTGACTCACTGTATACATTGGTCTTGTAATGGCGGCCATTCCACACGTGCGCGGCCACGCCGTAATTTTACAGCAGAGCGCGACACTGTTAAAATTGCTCTATTTTCTTTAATTTATTATCAAATGACGAAAAATTTTCCAAAAAACTTCCTAACATATTGATGAACATTTTAGTCACTGGAAGTTTTCCGAAAACGAAAATTCGTCACTCAACTTTTCCAATTGAAAATAGGATAATCATTTTTCCGGCAAAATTATTTAAATAATTATTTACTTAGACATAGAATTTTTTGAAAAATTATTAAATATTGTTTCACTTTTGAACTAGTTTGAAGAATATTGTGTGTAAATTTCGTGGAAAAATATTAATATTTAACGAAGTAATCACGAGTTGAAGTCAAAAATTCATTAAAATTTTTTAGGTTAAAAAATCACGCTTTTCTCAATTTACTTAAAAACAAAAAATTATATAAAAAAATTTTATTAGAAAAAAAGTTTCGCCTTGACATTCTGAACAAGAAACAATAATTTTAAATTTATTTTGAACAACTTCAAAATTTTCTCTCCATGACCCAACTGACTGGCCGTGTGTTCACGCGTAACACATTATAGCATCCAGCCCCTCAATTATGTAAATAATTTATAGTTTATACCTCTGTGTAAGTAATTAAATTGTAAATAATAATTTTTACAAATAGAACTCTTTTTGTATTTTCTTTTTATTCATAAAAACTATATTTTTTTTAGTGGAAAATAATTTAAATAATTTTTTTTAAGTAGATAATAATTTAAACAATTTTTTTCGAGTAGAAAACTTTTTAGTAGAAACTAATATTAATACTTCCTCTATGAGGAAGTAACAATTGTTTTGAGTAGGAAGTAATTGCAACAATTTTTTTTCCATGTAGAAAACTGTTTAGTAGAAACTAATATAAACAATTGTTTTGAGTATAAAATGATTTACACAGCTTTTTTCGAGTATAGAAAACTTTTTAGTAGAAACTAATATTAACAACTGTTTTGAGTAGAAAGTAATTTAAACAATTTTTTTCGAGTAGAAAACTTTTTATTAGAAACTGATATGAACAATTGTTTTGAGTAGAAAGTAATTTAAACAATTTTTTTCGAGTAGAAAACTTTTTAGTAGAAACTGATATGAACAATTGTTTTGAGTAGAAAGTAATTTAAACAATTTTTTTCGAGTAGAAAACTTTTTAGTAGAAACTGATATGAACAATTGTTTTGAGTAGAAAGTAATTTAAACAATTTTTTTCGAGTAGAAAACTTTTTAGTAGAAACTGATATGAACAATTGTTTTGAGTAGAAAGTAATTTAAACAATTTTTTTCGAGTAGAAAACTTTTTAGTAGAAACTGATATGAACAATTGTTTTGAGTAGAAAGTAATTTAAACAATTTTTTTCGAGTAGAAAACTTTTTAGTAGAAACTGATATGAACAATTGTTTTGAGTAGAAAGTAATTTAAACAATTTTTTTCGAGTAGAAAACTTTTGAGTAGAAACTGATATGAACAATTGTTTTGAGTAGAAAGTAATTTAAACAATTTTTTTCGAGTAGAAAACTTTTTAGTAGAAACTGATATGAACAATTGTTTTGAGTAGAAAGTAATTTAAACAATTTTTTTCGAGTAGAAAACTTTTTAGTAGAAACTGATATGAACAATTGTTTTGAGTAGAAAGTAATTTAAACAATTTTTTTCGAGTAGAAAACTTTTTAGTAGAAACTGATATGAACAATTGTTTTGAGTAGAAAGTAATTTAAACAATTTTTTTCGAGTAGAAAACTTTTTAGTAGAAACTGATATGAACAATTGTTTTGAGTAGAAAGTAATTTAAACAATTTTTTTCGAGTAGAAAACTTTTGAGTAGAAACTGATATGAACAATTGTTTTGAGTAAAAAGTGATGTAAACAATTGTTTCGAGTAGAAAATATTATTAATTACTAATTTTTAATAATTTCCAATAATATTAATATAATTCGGCTTTTAAATTCCCAATTTTTCAAAATTGAAATAAAATCATCTGCGGGGAGAATCGAAACCCTGACTCAAAAATTACACTCAATGACTTAACGACTACGGCTACAGTTGAATATAAAGATAGACTTATATTCTACTTATATATAAAATATATTCTTATATATATAAAAATAAATTATTAATTATATATAAAAAAATATATAATTATATTTTTATATTTTTAAATTATTCTATTATCTATATTATTATAAATAAATTCTTAAAAATTGTATTGTATTTGTTAAATGAAAATGAAACAATTTTTAAGCTGCATTATTGTCAGGCGGTGGTTCAAAGTATTTTTGTCGATAAATCCCCTTTGGATCGTATTTATTAGCGAGTATTTCAAATTTATTCGGTTCGAATTCCCTGAAAGTAAAAAATTCTTTTTTAATACGTTCGAAAATAAGGAATATTATTATAATATTATTAATTTTCAACTAGAAAATTGAATTAATACTGTGCGTTTTTAAAAAATTTATTTTCACACTTTTTAAATATTGTATTCGTTTTTTTCTGCTTTTTTTAAATTGTTTACTTTTAAAATTTTTATATTTAAATTATATTATATATACATATTAAATATTATATGTATAATATAGAAATATACATTAAATTTACATTTAGCTAATTTTGGTTCGAATTGGAAATTCTTATATCTCAAGTTTGGAAAAAATTGATTTGAACTCAAAATACATATAAATATATATACTAACAGGTCAAATCACTTGTGAAGTATTTATCATTAGTGTTCATGGCATGCACAACATTTCCTGTTCTTTTTTTATAATGACGTTCTTTGTCTAAAATGACGTCACATGCAATTTCTCTCTTTTTTAAATCAACTTGAACGTCTCATCCATTTGAAATGTTATTACTAGAAAAAAAAATAATTAAAAAAATTAGTTAAAAAAATTTAGCAAAAAATTTTTTTAATTAATCACTAATAACTATTTTGTAATTTGTATTACCTAATTATAATATACTTACAATAATTATAATATTTATAGTAATTAATAATAATTATAATAGTTACCATATATTTTTTACCACAATTATAACATTTATTATAATTGGGATATAATTAATATATTTATTTATCAATGTTATTATTACTATTAATATTATATAATATTGTTTAAATATATTTAAAAACTATGTAACTAATTAATGTTTTATATTTTTTTTCAATAATACCTGAGATATCTTATTACTTTTACGGATCCTTCAATTTGACTTTTGGTACATTTAGCGCAAGCATTGGCCAAAGCTTCTGGCAAAGCTCCTGTAATAAAAATTTTTTATTTCTTAGAATAACTTTTAAATTTCGTTATTATTATTCTTATATTTTTATTTTTCTATAGTATTGTTTAAAATTTTCGTCTTTATTTATTTATTTGAATATTAACGGGATAGTTAACATTTTTTATGAATAATAATTAGAAAAGTGGTAAATAAAAAAATTGTAAATAAAACAAATAGTAAATAAAAAAATAGTAAACAAAAAAGTAGTAAATTAATTAAGTAGTAAATAAAAAAATAATAAACAAAAAACAGTAAAATAAAAAATTAGTAAGTAAAAAAATAGTAAATGAATAAACAGCAAAACAAAAATAGAAAATTAAAAAAGTTGTAAATAAAAAAAATAAAGGTGAATTAAAAAATAGTAAATATAATAAATAGTAAATAAAAAAGTGGTAAATAAAAAATAATAGTGAATTAAAAAATAGTAAATAAAGTAAATGAGAGTGAATTAAAAAAAATAAAATTTAATTTAAAGAATACAGAACATTTTTCAAAGAATTGTAAAATAAATTTTTTTTTTAAATACAATTTTTTTTTCAAACAAAAAAAACTCACGTTTCAATTCCATGCCATCGGGGGGACACGGTCCCTTGGACATGAGACAATTGAAATAATATTGCAAAAGTCGTTTGCTGTCTAAAATTTCATTGAGATTAACTTTGTCCCATCGGGTCATGTATGTATTTTGTTTTGGCCACAAATATCCATAAGTGTCACGTGGTCCGGTTAATAAAAATATAAGACACAAAATCAACGCAAACATAAATAAACGCACATTCATCTTGGACTTAAATAATATAAATGCGAGTAAAACATTGCGCTCTGAACTTTATAGTGTAGTAGAACTTCCTCCACTTTCCTGACGATCCAATTTTGATCCGGTTATTAACATTATTTATCAAGGCTTCTTTATTATTTTTTTTCTATTATAAAAGAAAGCGTATTTTTTTTCATCTTGTCTCAGGATGATGATCAGCAAAAGGAGAAAAAAAATTATTTATAGCAAAACAATATATAATAATTGTTATTGTCATTCTTTACAAAGATTTATACAAATAACAAGGAGGGAAAAATTATTTTCCTTTTCTGGAATCAAGGTCGTGATCTACTTTTTCGAATATAGAGAAATTAACATTTTGTTGATAATAAGAAATTGACGAAGAAAACTTTTTTTCTGGGGGATTTTTCGGAGGTTTTTTTGATTTAATTTTTTATTTCTATACGAGCAGTGAAAATAGTTTTTTAATAAAAAATTTTTTTTTTTGGCTTTTTCGATATTTATTTTTTTATTTGATTTATTTATTTATTTTTGAACGAGTAGTACAGTTTTTTAATAAAAAAAAATAATATTCGGCTTTTTCGATATTTATCTTATTATTTTTGTTATTAATTTGTTATTTTTTTTAAGCGGACAGTGTGAACATTTTTTTAATGCAAAAAATATTTTTTTAGTTTTTTTTTGATATTTTGATTGAGAAATTTTTTTTCCATCCAACTAAATTTCATTTCAACAAATTTTGAAAATTATTTATTTAGTTTAACTGGGGAATTATTTATATTTTAAAGTAAGATTTCTACCTTAAGCTTGTCCCGTCTATAAATAAATAAAGAAATTCTTTTATTCTTTTTTAAAAATCAGCAAAAAAATACTTTTTTTTATTTTTGTATTATTTTTGAATGTATCAAGAATAATTTATTGCTTCAATAATTGCAATTGTATTTTATTGTGATTGAAAGATGAAAAGAAGCTTCTGGAATAGTTTTCTTGGAATTATTGTTTATCCGGAAAAATCAAATTAATAATTGTTGGCAATTGAAGAAATCCCATGATGAAGTAAATTGTACTTTATTAAAAGTTGTTTTCTTTTTATAGCCGGCAATTAAATAACTATTTTATAAATAAAGTGATTAATTACCTCCAAGACCGCATCTAAAATAAATTTTTTCAAAATATTATTTTTCCGAAAGAGGGAAAAAATTATTTAAATAATGTTTTTTCATATATTTACCATAATCTGATTAAAAAAATATTTTATTTTGTAAAAAATATTTTAAATTAGTGACAAATCTTTTCACATAAAATAATTACAGTGACGTAGACCAATTACAGGATTATCAAATAATCCTGTAATAATAATAATAATAATAATAATAATAATAATAATAATAATAATAATAATAATAATAATAATAGTAATAATAATTTTTTATTCTTACAATATTATTATTAATATTATATTATTAATTATATTACAATATATTATTATTATTATTTGTAATAATTATTATTTATTGTAATAATATTAAAATTCTTTAATAATGAATTAACTAATAATTTCTTTCAAATTTTTTTTTCAATTAATATAAGAGAATTTTAAAGTGACAAATAATTAATTAATTAATTTACTTATTAGTTAACTAATTAATGTTATTAATAAATTAATTAATTTACTAATTAATTAAAATTTTTTTTAATTTGTTTACTAGTTCAAAAAAATAGTCAAATATATTTGAAAGGATAAAAAATTACTCGGTGAACGTTTTAGGTTAAATATCGGTGCATTTTCAAAGTTTTAACTTTTATTACACCGAAGCCACTGAACTTGTAAAACCAGAAACGACTTTGCTAATGTGACCTAATTACGGCACATTGCAGCAGAAGAAATTTATTATCTAAATAATTTGAAAAATAATCTATATATGTATTTATTTCTACAATTTTTCATTTCTAAATTTAATTTCAAATATTGAATTGAGAGAGGAAAAAATTTTTTCATTTTATTCAAATAATATAATTTATTGGAGAAATATTTCTCTTGAAAAGTTTTTTTATATAAAGTAATTTTCAACAATGAAGAGGTGAGGAATTATTTGTTTCCGGTTGAGAATTATTTTCCACAGGTGAAATATGTTGTGAATTTTTTTGTTGAATAATTTTTTCAATTATGAGAATAAATGCAGCGACGCTTAATCCTCCAAATAGTAGAAGAATTGCTGAACTAAATTCGCCAAATTCGACAGGAACTGGTTTCGAACTGTGACCTGGTGGACATTGTGGTCGTCTCGGATACCAAATTGTTCGATGACGTCTTGTTATTCCACCAGCTACAGATTTTCTCAATCTGTTTTATTTTTAGAAAACAGGGAAAAAAATTGAAAGTAAACAAAGTGGGACACCCATCATATTTTTTAGTCATACTCTGAGTTGCTTAACTTTTATTAAAATTTCTCGCAGAGCAATTGATTTTTTATTATAAAATTAGTTATTTTTAACGAATTTAAATTTAGATAGTTGTTAAAATGATATTTAATTATGATAATAATCAAGTTAATTTAATTTTTATTTTAAATAAACTTTTATTAAATTAATTAATTCAATAATTCTGTATTAATTTACTAATTTTGAATTTACTATTCTGCAACTTTAATAATTATTATAAGTAGGGATTTCGATTTGGAAAGATAGTGAAATTATCCAAATGCGCGCGCACACACGCTATCTCTTCCAGCGTGCGCGCGCATCTTTACATATTGTGTCACGCTATCACCATTTAAAATTAAATACTAAGTAAATTAAATAATAAATACAATATAAATATAATAAAATAACATATAATATTAAATATAGAATTACACTGTAAAAAAAGGGAGTTAAATTTTAACTCCCCCGGGGGGTCTATAAAAGTCGCACCCATTGGGGAGTTAATGCCAGGGGAGTTAAATAAAGAGAGTTAAAATTTCACACCCAAATGCTAACTCCCCATGAAAAAAATAACTCGCGCGGGTGTTGAATGAAGGAAGTTAGAAATTAACTCTCTTTTGGAGTTGATTTTTAACTCGAAAAATTTCACTCCCAACTCCCGAGTCCGTTAACTCCCCAAATTTTTTACAGTGTAATTCATATAATATTATAAGTATAATGTTTATTATAATATTTATATTTATTATAATATTTACTATTTAATAATTTATTTAAAGTTAACTATTTATTAATTAATATTCTTTTAATAATTCTCACCCATAGACGATCATTTTATTAAATGGTGAACGCTTACTGGTGACAATACCAAGTTCCTCACCATCGTAGGCTTTGATTTCTGTTAGTTCGCAAATTTCGTTTTCAGTGAAAGTTTCCTTTTTTTATTGTCGATAAAAAGAAAAAAGTTTATTTTTTAATTTAAATCAAAAATTGTAATGATATGATATGAAAAATACCTCTATATGTTTATAAACTATTGCAACGTCAACAAGAAATGCGAATTGTCCATTTTTCATTCTACTCAAACCTTCAGAACTGTTGAAATAAGAGCGTTTTCCCTTTCTTGTGTTTTCCTCAATTCTTTTTTTTAAAGCTCGACATCTGTCGTCGGGTGGATGCTGAAAAATTAATGAACCGAAAAAAAATTATTTCTTTATCGTATAAGAAAAAAAGCTGACTTTTTGCTTTGGAATTATTAAAAGTAACTAATAAATAGTAATTTCTCCTACTTTATTAGTAAAATTTTAAAAATTTAATTGAATTAGTAAAAATGTTTACTAATTTGAATTAGTGACTGATTTTTTGCTTTTGAATTATGTAGTAAATTTTACTACTAAAAAATATCAATAAAATATTACTAATTTACTACTAAAAATATTATTAATTTTGTACTAAATAAATTAGTAAAAATTATTACTTAGTAGGAAGTAAAATTTACTAATTTACTACTAAAAAATATTTTAATGAAATATTACTAATAAAATATTACTAAATTTACTACTCAATAAATAGTAATTTCTTTTAATTTATTAGTAAAATTTTATGTGTAATTCTAAAAAAAAGTTAGCCACTAATTAAAAGTAGTAAACATTTTTACTAAAAAATATTACTAATTTACTACTAAAATGTACTACTAAATAAATTAGTAAAATTTACTAATTTCCTACTAAATAAATTAGTAGAAATTACTATTTAGTAAGAAAATTGACTAAATTAGTAGAAATTACTATTTAGTAAGAATGTTTACTACTTTACTACTAAATAAATTAGTAGAATTTACTATTTAGTAGGAAAATTTACTAACTACTACTGAATTAATTACTACTAAATAAATAGTGATTTCTGCTAATTTATTAGTAAAATTTACTACGGAATTCGAAAGCAAAAAGTCAGCCACTAATTCAAATTAGTAAACTTTGTTACTAAATCAAATTTACAGAGTTGTTTGGCAAGTAAGTACTTAACAAAGAATTTTGCAAAATGATAATATTTACTTCTATAGCTCTGCGATTGTAAATAACATCATCGATTCCAATTTCGATATCAGATTTTAATAAATCGTAAACTGTATTAATAAATCGAGGACGCTCGGCCAAAAGTGATCCCACGATACTTGCGGAATAAAATTGAAAGAGTAACATTCCCCAAAGGAATGTTGAGACGAAAAGTATTCGATTGGAATAAAATTTAGGAATATCGTTGGCGTCTAAAAGTTTTAGTTTTTAAATCTTTATAATTTAATATTCAATTTTATTTTAAGATAACAACGCAACGATAGCAAACCTTGTTGAGTGATAGCGGCCATTACGACGAGAAATGTTGCCGTATTTTGATTTATGTACAAGCCATTAATTTCGGATTTATTTTTTTGAAATTTCCTTTCATTTCCGATCATAAATAATAATAAGAACCAGAAAATAATTCCAAATGTCAAAATTGCCCACCAGACATTATTTTGAAATGGATTTATAAATATGTTGCGTATTTTATTTTTCTTTGGATGTCGAAATAATAGCGCTGGACTGTCGGAATTAGTAGAATTTTTTTTTGAAAAAGAGAAAAAAAACAGGATTAGTAATTAGTAGAATTTTTAATATCAAAATAATAATATTATAAATAAGTGGAATTTTTTTTTATTAAAAAAGAGAAAAACCTCAGTAACGTTAATTTCATTTTCATAGATTGTTTCGAGATCGAAATGCGCATAATAATAATAATAATAATAATAATAATAATAATAATAATAATAATAATAATAATAATAATAATAATAATCCCCGCCGATGGTTGTCCACTACCGAACATCATCGATGTCTTTGACGTGCTGGGAGAAGCGGATCCACTGCCAAATGTCATTGATTTCTTTGATGTACTGGGAGAAGTGGACCCACTGCCGAACATCATTGATTTCTTTGATGGGCTGGGAGAAGTGGGTCCGCTGCCAGACATGATTGATTTCTTTGATGAGTTGGGAGAAGTGGGTTCGCTGCCAGACACGACTGGCATCTTGGATATGTTCGGTAGACCTTGCCGTGGTGGCGGGACTTTTCACTAAAGGACAACCAACAGGGTGGTTCCCTGATTTTAAAACCAAAAAAAATGAATGAAATGGATAAAGAATCACATAAATTACTCCAAGTGGGTACCTCGAAAGAGGGTAATCCCACCACCGATTCTGATCGGGTGCAAGCCTCGATAGTCGGTGCAGATGGCTCCAAGGATTTTGGAGGGAGCCAAATAGATAGCCAGGTGACATGCTACGAATCAAATGTCGCAAATCAGTTCCTGGCTATTCCGGGAATTTTTAAAAGCTTGCGCCAAGGATTCAAGCGACAAAAAAACGTCGGTCGTGACATCCAGGATGGCGTGACGGTTTTGGAAAATGCGTTCGATATAATCTGTAAGAATTTACGTTTTATCCCCGAGCCTTTCAAAGACCAAGAGCCGCAATTTCCAACTGTGGAAACTCCACGGCAGACAAAGAGTGTTATTGCAACCCGGGATAGCGCGGCTGCAGGCGCAACTAAGACGAAAAAGATTAATAAGCGCCCTAGGGAAGGAGTAAGCCCGGATGTGAGTCCACAACGAGCGACTCAAAGTGAAAAGAGGATTAAGCGAAAGGATGCTCCACAGCTTAATCCTGAGTCGCTAGTTGAAGCAAAAGGGGCGTCCTCAAGTAGTCCTAGTAAGACGTATGCCGATACCGTCTTGAAAGACGGAGCGGTCATTGAGGATGACTTTAAGGTTGTTGGAAAAAGAAACAAACGGGCTCCAGGAAGAAAGACCCAAGGCGAGAAAAAAGAGCTCACGAAGCCCCCTTCGAAACTCAGGTCCACGGAAGCTGTGAAGATCACGGCAAGAGGCCCAAAGTTTTACGAGGGTATCTTGCCGCTGATAAAAGAAAAGGTTAAACCTGAAGATACAGGCACCGTGGTACAGAAAATCAGGAGAACTTTTAAACAGGAAGTTCTCCTGATAGTGAAAAAGGGTGGAGAGACCTTAGAATTTGCGAAAAGTCTGTCCTTGGCCCTGCATGGCAGGGCCGAGGTCATACCTCTTGTAAATAAGAGGTCTCTAGAAATCAGAGACCTGGATGAAGCCACTACAGAGAGTGAGGTGACTTCAGCATTGGAAGAAAAGCTGGGCAAGTCCGACCTGCCTATAGAGTGCAAATTACTGCCGCGCTACAAAGAAACTAAGGTTGCTCTAATCCGCTTGGCAGAAGCAGAAAGTGACATTCTGCTTAAACTTGGCCGAATCAAAATCGGCTGGATAAATGCTCAAATTCGCGAGCATGTTGAAGTAGCTAGGTGCCAAAAGTGCCTAGCCTATGGACACTCTACCCGAACCTGCAAAGGCCCCGACAGAAGTAAAAACTGTCGGAGATGCGGCGGAGAGGGACACCTCGCGAAGAGCTGTAAAGTTAAGCCGAAGTGCCTTACGTGCTTGGACCTAGGGAAGCCAGAGACGGATCACGATTCCGGAAAGAGAGCCTGCCCGGTTTACAGAGAAGAACTGCAAAAGATTAAAAGGGCAAATCCTTAAAATTTTTGCAGGTCAACCTGCATACAAGTAAGGATGCACAGTTGCTCCTAATGCAAACAGCAAGGGAAAATGAGGTCGATATCCTGTTCTGCAGTGAGCAGTATCAAGGAAGCGACCTCGCCCCTTGGTATCAGGATAAGGCAAAGAGAGCCGCCATAAAGCTGTGCAACCCAGAATTGCGGGTTGACAAGTTTCTGGAGACGAGCAGTGGGTTCGTGTGGATAGAGGTGGCTAATATACGTATGTATAGCTGCTACTTCTCACCCAACGACCCACTGACAAACTTCGAAGCCAATATCGAAGACCTAGAAGCGAGCCTCACAGAATCCAGGCTGGATGTCATCATCACTGGTGATTTTAACGCAAAGTCGCCAGAGTGGGGTGAGACGAGACTCGACAAGAGAGGAATTCGTATTGGAGAAATGATCTCCAGAAACGACTTATTGGCAGTAAACCGAGGCAATACATGGACTTTTAGACGAGGTGCGATCGGATCAATTATAGATCTAACAATCGCATCGTCTAAACTATTTAGCCGCATAACCGACTGGCGGGTCTCTGAGGAATATACCGCAAGTGACCACCAGTATATTGAGTTCTCAGTCTCGATGGGAGACACACGAGGAGGAAAAAGACAGGATGCTCCTAGTCGCAAAACCTCCTCGTGGAATATGAAGAGACTCGACAAGGAAAAGTTCGGCCGGTCCCTAAGAGAAGCCCTTTTAATTGAGGACTTGGGCTGGGTGAAGAGGCCGAGCAGTCTGGATGCGGAGGTGCGAGCGGTGAGGAACATGATAGTCACCGCTTGCAATGCGTCAATGCCACGCAAAGGCGCCACTCCCGTAAGAAAATCCTTGCACTAGTGGTCAGAGGAGCTAGCCTCCTTGAGAAAGGAATGCCTCAAAGCAAGAAGGACATATACCCGATCTAAGAGAGATTCCTTGCTGAAAGAGGCTTTCAAGGAGGCGAAAAAGAACCTCAAGAAAGAGATCCGGAAGTCGCGACGCCATAGCTGGAAGGACCTAATCGAGGAAGTCGATAAGGACCCATGGGGTCTGGCTTTTAAAATCGTAACTAAGAAATTAGTGACGAGGCAAAAGACCCCCGGCCTGGACAATCCCGATTGGGTCAGAAAGATAATAAGTTCTTTGTTTCCTCCTGCGGAGCCATACCTTAGAAGGGACTGGAGTTTTTGCAAAGTCGAAGAGGAAGAACTCTTCACACTTAGTGAACTGCAAAAAGCAGGCAAAAGATTGAAAACAGGCAAGGCGCCTGGAATCGATGGGATAAGTAACGAGATCCTAAAGTTGGTAATCGACACTTCACCCCAGATTCTGCTTCGATGCTTCAATCATTGCCTTGAGAGAGGAGAGTTCTTCCGCGACTGGAAGCGACAGAGGTTAGTCCTCCTAAGGAAAGGTGAAAAACCGCTAGATAAGGTTTCATCGTACAGGCCTATATGCCTGCTAGATACGATGGATAAACTTCTAGAGGATATGGTTCTGCAGAGAATGCAAAGCCACTTGACCGAAGAAAATCGTCTATCCGATCACCAATTTGGTTTCCGTAAAGGCAAGTCCACGGTTGATGCCATCCAGGCAGTTGTGGACATAGCCAAAGCAGGAAAAAACAAATTGGGACCTGGGAAAAAGAAGAGCTTCTGCGCGTTGGTAGCAATTGACATACGCAACGCGTTTAATTCCGCAAGATGGAAAGATCTCATCGAGTCGATGGAAAAGAAAAACATGCCGCCCTACTTGTTGCGGATAATGGATAATTATCTTAGCGACAGGTGGGTTATATATGAGGAAGACACCTGCACTCTCAAGGAAGAGATGCAGCGTGGGGCTCCTCAAGGCTCGAGGGTGGGTCCATTTGTATGGAATGTATCTTACGATGATTTTCTGCGAATGGATCTGCCCGAAGGTGCGGTGATCATCGGCTTTGCGGACGACGCGTTATTCGTGTGCACTGCCGAAAGTGAGGAGGCTCTTGGGACATTGGTGAACGAATGTCTGCGACTAGCTAAAAGCTGGCTGGATACCAGAGGTCTTGAAATGGCCCTGGAAAAGACCGAGGCACTGCTGGTCACAGACAGACGTGGTTATGAGCTCCCACGAATCGTGATAGACGGATTCGAGGTCAAGTGGAGTAAGCAAATTAAATATCTTGGTGTGAAGTTAGATGGAAGGTTAAACTTCCACCACCACATGGCTACGGCGTCAAATAAGGCGATCGAGTGTGCGGCTAATCTTTCACGGCTAATGCCAAATGTTGGCGGACCCCGTGAACAAAAAAGAAGACTGGTGGCGAGTGTCGCCCACGCTAAAATGCTCTATGCAGCACCAGCGTGGGCCCCATCCCTGAGGAGTAAAAGATGTGTGACCATCTGTGAAAAGATACTGTCTGCGCAGAGATCGATAACAACGCGTATCATCTCTGCATATAAGACGGTATCTACGAGTGCTGTGCAGGTCCTTGCAAGTGTCCCGCCAGCAGATCTTTTGGCGAGGGAAAGGGAAGAAATGTTTCTCTTTTCTAAAGAAAGCAGTTCCTTGAATGAGGAATTAAGACCAAGCAAGGGCCTGATCCGCAAAGAAGCGAGGCACAGGCTCATAGAAAGATGGCAAGAAAGATGGGATGGTGAGGAAAAAGGTCGATGGACTTATCGCCTTATCCCGGCACTCGCCACCTGGATAAATAGGAAACATGGTCAGGTTTCCTATTACTTGACTCAGGCGTTCACAGGTCACGGGTGTTTTAACTCGTACCTGTGTCGCTTTAAATTACGCGAGAACGAGGTGTGTGCATATTGCCAGTTCCCTGAGGACAACGCGGAGCACACCCTCTTCTCATGCAAGAAATGGGACTTGGAGAGGCGGGCCATGTTCGAAGGTGTAAACAGTTAAGTTACACCGGAGAACATGGTATCGCTGATGACCCAGTCAGAGGAGAATTGGCGGCAAGTCGAGAACTT